TTCTGTAACCAATAGCAACATCCCTGACCTACTTACTTGATAATAAATGTCCTAGGAGCATCCTTCTCAAGATGGAGTTCTTGTCAATGGGTGGTATGAATGATGGGTGTGAGTCACTTTGTCTAGATTTGAATATATTTTAATAGCTAGTGCATGAATAAAAGTAGGAAAAAGGGTGAAGGGAGCACAGCATACCTGTAGATTTACATCAAAGCACAGTCCTTCTGCCTAATCCTCTAGATTTCTGGGTCCTTCTCTCACAGGGCTTTACTGGCTGGATACATAACTTGAAAAATGCCTCTTAATGTTCAAGACAGGACAGCAACAGGTAGGTTCCTGTGTGATTTCCCCTAACTCACTCAGTCTCTCACCACCTCTATGTGGGGGACAACTGCAGCTCTGTTTCCTCAAGGCCTATAGCACTCCATGGCAGCCAGTATTTTAGGGATACTTCCCAGAAGGGGGGATTTCCTTGAACTTCGCATACCACTAGGCCCTCAGGCCTAGGACCTAGATTGGTGATTACAGATGCATTCTCTCAGGGTGAAGAGAATATGCCAGGAAGTGCCTCAGATATCTAATAGCTCTCCCATCATGTACAACAGGCTCCCCAAGCTTGCTGCTTGACCAGGTTTTAAACATCCTTAATATCAAGTGCTGGAGCACACTCAATACAGCAGGTGACAGAGAATAACCACTCAACACTTCAAGAACACAAGCCAGAACACAGCTGACTAACCTCACACCATAAGATTACAAACACAGGAGAAGAATTTGGAAAAATACTACATCCCTACACCTATGCTGCGAAGATGAAGACACCCAGTGTGATTAGGTAATTTAGCAAAACAAAACTGGCCAAGGCTGACACCACTTCAAACAGTGCACAAAAATACTGTGTGTTGTCAGCCCGCAACAGGACGGAGGAGCTAACTGCATTTCTGGCAGATCAGCAGGAATTTTTCTGTACTTGCAGGGTCTTTAAAAGTGATAAGACATCGTAAATGTTTACTGCAGATATATTCTGCATTATTTTATTTTTCTTTGACACGCTTTAACTTGAACAGAGAAAGTGTCACTCCTTAACCTTTGCTTTCTGGAAGAATCACAACCTTTGCTGTTTGGAATCACAAAAGTGGCTGGACAGAATTACAAATCTTTTGGCAGTTATGACACTGCACATATATGTACAGTAGGGGGAATTTATGATAGCAATTGCGAGTGTTTGAACTTGCACAGAATATGTTTGACGCACTTTGCTCCAGATTTACGATACTAGTGTAATGTTGTTCATAAATAAGGTTAAATAGACTCCAGGAAAGAAGACTTGTAACTCCAGGCAAAAAGCTTAACTGTCGTTTCTTGAAGAAGTGGTCATGGGGACTTCTTAAGTTGTGATTGTTTTGTTAGGATGCTCCAGTTACAGAACAAGTGCAGATGAAAACAGGTGCAAAACACGTGCAGGTGGAAAAGTAATGCAAGCTCAGGTCAAAACAGGGGCACATGTTGAAAGACAGATTTGCACATAAAATAAATTATCTAAGAGGGTAAAACTGTCACAATTGCTTTGATAAATTCCCCCCAGTACGTCAACTTTAAATTTAGCTGTTTGGTTAGAGTTTAGCTTTAAAGCAAACCTGTCATATAACTAAACCTGCCATTAAACACTGACTCTGTAAAGAAGACGGTGAATACTTACCTCCCCTGCTGCCCATACCACCTTTCCAGTGCAGAGAATTTCCCAGCAGAAGTTTCTTCAGAAAGCAAAACTTTCAGTAGTATTGATGTCCTGTGTTCCCCGCACTGCTCAGTGGTTCCTCCTACCGACCTTCAAGTCACTATCTTGTTATATAGGGAGGAAACAGTGCACAAATCAAACTTTCTGAGATAAGAAAGAGGGACACCATTAAGCACAAAGTATACTGACAAAGGACAAACCCCTTCAGTGCCCACACACACAAGGGCTGTTTTTTTCACTACAGCATTTCTTTACAAATATTTTTGAAAATCACATATGCAATCATTTAAAGGGTCGACAAAAGGTTTAGAGGCTGACTTTAAACTATGCTGCTGTTCACACAGCACCATTGCCACTTGATGGCACTGAAGAGCATAGGAAGTTATTAATCAGCTCCTTAGTGTAGTATAAGTATATTGGTAATTATTTATAGAAGTCTGTATATATCAGAACAAACAGAGGGACAAACGGAGAAGGAAAGGGGGGGACAGAGGGATTTGGTTTCAAAAGCGGGACAGTCCTTCCAAATGAGGGACAGTTGGGAGCGATGCCAGTGAACATGGTAATCTCTATGCCTTGTATATGTCCCTAATCTTTCACAAGAGAGATCTTTCCTATTAGTCAGGTTGTTGGAATGTGCCAAAGAGCTGCAATCAGTGTATCTCTGGAGTGCAGATGTTGGTTTTGCAAGCAATAACAAAAGGTAGAGGGACATCAATACCAGACCAGTCTTTAAAAATAGAATGCAATATGCTGGACCATATAGTATTTTTCAATGTAATTGGCCAATGTGGATTTAGGAATAATCAACTATAAAGGTTAGGAAATGTAAAATATTGAATATTGTAACTGTTCCTATCTGAAATTTATAAAGGGAATACAAAGAGATTCCAGCTTTGTCTTTTAAACACATTATATTAGAAGAAAAACGTTTTAAACATATGTGCCTCATTCATTTTACACCTGCATCTAATTATTTATAATGTGAGCAATATTAGAATATGATTTAGCAGAACTCTGTACCTTTGACAGTCATTATTTAGATCATTGTAAAGGAAAGGTATGTTTTTTAAGATCTTTACTTGTATGGTCTTTGAGCCTTCTTACTTGGCTATCTTTTGGCCATCTTGGCTTGTGTTTTTGCTGTTGTGTGTGGTTCTTAGCCAAGCTTTTGATCTCCTACGATCCCGGTGAAGGGAGTAAGACATAAAACCTTTGTTTTTTACAATACAACTTCCAAAGACTCGGCTGGAGGGGAGAGGTCACAACCTTGCTTATAATCTATCTACACATGTTTCCATTACTGTACACTGCGTATGTGTGAAACTGGGCTCATTCTTAAACTCTTTTAGAGAGGGGTTTAAATTGCTAGACTTGAGCTTAAGCTACGGTATGGATGTAAAAAAAATATCTACTAGGCTGTTGTTGCTACTCTGATTAGCTAATAGATTAAAATATGATCACACAATACACTGTTTGAATATTCACTTCACAAATCCAATCATGTGCAGATGAAAAAAGTAAACAGGGATTTGTTTTCACATGATTGGATAATCGAAGTGAATCTTCAGTGAATCTATTCACTCAATAATAAAAAATTAACATTCACTGTTATCTGTAGTATCATTCTATGTCTGGGCAACACCTTTTGGCTATGTTGGCTTCATGTATATTATAAATAAATATTGTTAATTTTGAAGTAGTTTTCATTTCCATTTAGTTAAGTAAACATAAATTCTTCATATTTATAACTTGCAGCCAGGGGGCGTTGAGTCTACTTTCTGCCATTACGGCTGAGTCATTTACTAATATGCCGTGAATAGCCTTTAATCTGATTTTCTGGTATTCAGGTCTGGTTACATCATATAAACAAGTAATAAAGTCAGAGGAGGGACAAGCCACCTTCTATGTTGTTGCTCATGCTGCCCCCTATGGGATTTAATTCAGACACAGGCACTTAAGAAGTGATCACGCAGTGTAAGGCTTTCTTGTTTGAAAGTTCTGCAGACACAATTCTCAGTTAGATCAGTCAGGATCTGGAACTCGCTGCCACATGCTGTGATTTCAGCTAAGAGTGTGGAATCATTCAAGAGGCGATTGGACGATTTCCTCAGGAACTGTAATATACAGGGGTACAAGTACTCTTAAGAATGAGATCAAACAGGGACCTATATATACATACGCACACATCAGTGGGACCATACACTTACACACAATAGGTTGGACTTGATGGACATGTGTCTTTATTCAACCTCAATTACTATGTAACTATGTAACAATGCCATGGAACTACAACATATGAAATGCTAATTTGTGAAAATAAGATTTTATAAAATAAATGAAAAAAATGATATAGAAGATCAGTCTATAAATCTCTCCTTGATGCAGTTTGAAGGGGAGATACCAGGCAGCTTTTGATAAAAAAAAATCTAAATTAGAGTGTATTGTTTTACAGAAAATGCCATGAATAATAACATTGCTCCAAAATCATTATGCTTTCCTGTATGTTCAATTATTTTATAAGGCACAGAATTGTGAACTATATTTGTTCTGTCTCAGCTGCCGCTTTAAGCAATCAACATTCCTGCTTAGCTCTCAATCTTTCTTGACAGTATGGCCACTTGCTGACTCAGTAGAATCCACAGACAGCTTAAAGGATAGGTACACCTAACCTTTCGGCCTCTTTAAAATGACCTCATCAATCCCTCCCTCCCCTGCATAGATGCATGCTTACTGAGTTCCAGCCTTTGCTGTTTGTTGACATCCTGTGAAGAATGTCTCCTTCTCCTGCCTGTGCCTGCGCAGTACATCCACCCTCTATATTGTCTCCTAGCCAAGAGACAGAAGTAGACGAGCCTCATAGAAGTCAATGGGGATGTACTGCACGGACGCGGACAGGAGAGATAGATGTTCATAGCAGTGTCACAAGAAGTTATCAGCTCCCAAGATTTCTTGCAGGATCAACAGGTATTTGCATTTGCAAGAACAAAAGGCTTTCAATGGTATATTTAACAGACTGAAAGGGAACAAATAGGAGAAGTTATTTGCTAGTGTTTTACATACACTTTAATGCAGCTAAATAATGCACATTAACCTGCATAGGGTAAGGCAACAAAGCTGTACTGCTAAAAGTCTAATTGATAGGGGCAACACAACTGATTCTTTAACTTCATCATTGCTAAAAGCAAAGTTGTATTAACAGTTTTTAGTATTATATGCAGTAAAGACAGTTATCAAATTTATACAAAAAATACTATGTGATTGCTGCACTACTATTACCAGGCTCCTGCAATTAAAATGTAAATATATTTTGCAGCTGTCTGCGAAAATGCTTGCCAGAACGGAGGTCGTTGTATTGGACCTAATCGGTGTGCCTGTGTGTATGGATTTACTGGGCCTCAATGTGAGAGAGGTAAGCTATGGCCTGCCTGTTATTATTAAACAAAGTGTATTGTTTGTTTCAATTGTTTTATTGTAAATTTGTATATGTAGACTTAAGAATGTGTACCTAGTGTAACGAGATGTAGAGGTAAATTAAAAGGTGCTTGGCACAACAAAGTGCACAGACAAGTGCATTGTTTGTAAATGATGGTTGTTTATGCTGATATACAACATGGGGCAATGGCATCATAGCTACTGTTCATACCATTGGGAAAGTCGACAGTTGTACTGTATTTATGATTTATTAACAAATACGATAAGAAAAGAAGACACCGGGCGCCTGACCTGGTGCAATAATGCTTTTATTAAAGGAGAACTATGAGGCGAGTGCTTTTCACTCACCTCATAGTTCTAGCCGACCTGTGACTGTCACAGGTCGGCTCAGTAGAACGGGAGGTGAGCAAACACATACAAGGTTCGCTCACCTCTCGATCCTGTCACGGCTCTCTGCCGTGACAGTGGGAGGGGCTGGATTCCCCTCTCCCCGCTCCGATCTGCCAGCGCTGACTGGCTCTGCCTATCTAGAGGCAGAGCCAGCTGTCACTCACGCAGCTGGGCGGATCCCGTCGTCTAAGTCGGGATCCGCTCCGGCTGCGGCATCTCAGTATACCACGAGCTGTAGCTCGCGGTATACTGAGCTTAGGGTAACGGGAGGACGCTAGTTTGTGTCCTCCCGTTACCCTAAGGAGAACTATGGGGAAAAACACTGACCCCATAGTTCTCCTTTAAGGAAAATATTCTAAATCTTATTATACTCACAAACGAAGCAACTCTTTGGGCCACAGGAGGGTTTCTTTAGTTGTGCAATTGGCGCTGGTCGTGCCATTTTGTGGCTAACAAATAAGATAAACATGCAATGTAATGGAATAGAATTGAATGCTGTCGCCATGGAAAATACTGCTGGAGGTATACATGAAGATACATGAAGATCATCACAAAAGTAGCTTGTTGGAACAAGACATTTTTAAAGTCAAATTACAGAGCTTTATGAACACCAGGCCCAAACAAAAACAACTCATTAAAGAACAGGGACATAAATGGAACCAGGTCAGATGTGCAGATTTTGATATTAGATGAGAGTCTCATCTGTCTATAGATTTTATGGAATAAATCAGCAATCCAATCATCATGGATTAGGATTTCTATATACTAGATATCTGTGCTCTAAGCAGATTTAAAAAAAGGTACAGAGTACAGTATATACTTCTCAGTTTGACAGTTATACAGGTATACAGCAAAGCATCAAAGCATTTAAAGTGGAGAGCACATCAAATTAAAAGCAGTGGGCTACCCCCGCACTGCAAGGGTTAACTGTTCATTTTGGTCCAGGGTGAAAAATAACAAATCACCCGATCTTCTGAGCAGGCCAGCTGTGACAGCGCTCCCTGCAGACTGTCTCCTCCTATGCTGCGCAAATGAATGTCCCTCGACGCCCTCATGTCTTATACACTGCGTATAGAATGGTATGTGTTACAGGACCTTAGACCGCTACAGCAGAGGAAAAGATAGCCTGCAGGGACTGGTCTAAAAGCAAGCCATCTCATATGGATTGGGTGAGTATAACTTTTTTATTTTCCTCCCTAGACACAAACAAGCACTTAACCCTTGAAGTGCTGGGGTAGCACCACTGCAAGGGTTAAAAATAATTTTCCCCAGAGTTCTTCTTAAACCAGATAAAGAGGAGGCACATATGACAGAGATAAATAGCTGCAGCAGCTATCTTGAACCCATCGTCATTTCCGGTTTGAATGACCTCCATCACTCATTAATTTCTTCTCCCCATATCCAACATTCACCCCCAATTTCTAGCATCATTGTGTTCTCCCTCTCACAGCTATAAGCTTTCCCTGCCATCAAACAAATTTGTCCCCAAGCCTTATCTCTGGCATCCCTCTAGATCTGCCTGCAACCTGTCAACCAATCAGCTAAAGTCTGCAGAACTCAATGGTCAGCAGGGAGAAGCAGGCACATTTAAAGTGATCCCTGTGATGAGTTCTTGCCAATAATTATTTTGAAAACAATCACAGGCAGAAAGCTCTGACATTTACAGGAGCTTCATGGCCCTTCCCATCAAATGCCGAGCAGAAAACAGCAGATAGACTTAAGGGTCTATTCACAAAGCTGCCGAAGGATCTAGCTGTAGCTTCGACCGATCCTTCCGCTAGCTTCGGCCCCTGGACCCCTTCAGTTCAGTAGAACCGAAGGGGTGCTGTACGGGCTATTCAGTATAGCACATACAGCTCCCGAGCGTGGCCGAGCGGCTCAGTCGGGCCGAACGCATATGTCTCAGCTCGGCTGAGCCGCGCTGAAAGCCGAAGCTGGCCGAGCGCTGAAAGCTTCTGACAGCTGGGCGGAGCCGGGCCGTGATCTTACGGCTGGCTCCGGCCACTTGCCTGAGAGATCAGCGTCCCTGGTTACCTGCTAGCCAGGGACACTGATCTCCAAACAGCAAACTCTCCCTGGCGCTCCGGGGGTCTCCCGCTCCCGGCCGCCAAGGTGAGAAACACTGCTGTTTCTTTTTTTTTGCAATAGCCAATAGAAAACTAGCATTGTACCCGCCCCCTCTGCTGCAGTTCTCCATCAGGTCCATCAGCAGAGGGCGGGTACAATGCTAGTTTACTATTGGCTATTGCAAATTGAAATAGCCAATAGGAATCTAGCAATGCATTCCAATGGGTAAAATGTTTTGTTTTTTCTATTCTGACACGGCTCTGTGTCAGAATAAAGAAAAGAAAAAGCAGTGTTTCTCTCCTTGGCGGCTGGGAGCGGGAGGCTCCCAGAGCACCCGGGAGAGTTTTTTTTTTGACGGCAGCAGAACCGTCGGACAATAGAAAACTGTTGGGCGGAGCTAGCTGTCACTGCTAGCTCTGCACAATTGTTTTCTATTTCCTTTTTTTAAACTTTTTTTACTACTTTCCTGTTCTGCTCGGTCCCTCTGAGGGACCGAGCAGAACAGCCAAGCCGAATGCCGCTCAGCTGCTGTTCGGCATCTATAAGAATAGGTCGAATAGCAGTGAGTAGCCTGACGGAGGTTTGGCTCAGCCGATCCAAATGTTGGATCGGCTGAGTCAAACTCCTTCTGCACTTCGGGTCAGCTGAACATGCTGAGCATGTTCGGCCGACCCAAAGCCATGCGAAGCAAGCCGAGGTACGGCTGATTTCAGCCGTACCAGCCTGAAGTGAATAGCCGAACAGTGTTCGGCTCACTTCACTTCAGGTCCGTCATTCACTCGGCTGCCTATGGCAGCTTAGTGAATAGACCCCTTAGTGATCACATCAGGTATAGGATTTTTTAAGAAACAAAATGTTTTGGTGGAAATATTTGAATTGCTTGTTTATCAAGGGGGAAAAAAGGGAAGGTATCAAACACTAGACTTCAGACTTTAACTGAACATTACTTTTACTTTCTAAGAAACACTGCAATGAAAATACAGCCATTTTATGTAATCCACAAATGATAGGAATAGGTTTGTTGTTGTTCATGCTAGCAATGGATAAGTCTTTGTGAGTTTGCATTTTAATTTTCACTGAGAGATACTGCAAACTCATTCTCTACTGACTACTATGTCATTATAGGTGTCAGTGAAATAGCAAGTTAAAGTGGACCTTTATCCATATCTTTAAAATAATATCAATTGCACATTTAGAAATGTTTAGTAATGACATTCTCCAATCACATACTTCTAGATAATTCAGGCTTTGTATTCTTTGCATACCTTATTTCTCTTTTCTTTCCCAGTCTTCTGACAGTGGCCGTGTTTACTAAGGGCAGATTACTAGCTCTCCTATTACTTCCTGGATTTCTGGCACATGTAAATAGACATGTGACTAGGACATGTGACAATGCAGATCATCTCAGGGGAGGGAAAATGCCTTTCCCTGGGATCTCGTGAGATTACAGATGAGATTTCCCAGCAATGCTCTGCTGATGACAAGGCAATCCCAGTGTGCTTTGCTTTAGCAAACTGAAGTAATTTGTACTTTGAAAGCAGGAAAAGAAAGTTTTGCAAGTGTTAGTATTTCAAAATAACAGCAATTTGCACCTGACATGTCTATGTTAGTATTAATCATCATACATAGAGGGATGCATTGGTAGAATTTGATCTTTGAGAGTAAAGCTCCGCTTTAAGATACAATTTGACTCATATTTGTTGATGAACAGTGGCAAATTAATAACGAAAATATTAGTGCTGTGGTCCATCAGCTGTCTTTTTACAGGGAAAAGGAGCTTGAATGTAGGAGCTTTATTAAAGCCAACAAGGACAAGCAGGAAACTTTCCCTAATCTGTTTCCAAATTGCCCCTATTCAAGTCAGAGTGGTCAATCATCCTGGCCAAGTCAGGACACTTTATTATCAGCTAACAGTGCTAGTAAATGGTGTTTACCTGAGTAGAGATGAGGTGTTAAACTGCCGGTAGAGTAGATAAAGGAATCGTCTTTTTCTTAATATAAGGATATACAGTTTGAATACTGAATTATTAAAGGAGAACTATGAGGTGAGTGCTTTTCACTCACCTCATAGTTCTAGCCGACCTGTGACAATGAGACTGTCACAGGTCGGCTCAGTAGATCGGGAGGTAAGCGAACATATACCTGGTTCGCTCGCCTCTCGATCCTGTCATGGCTCTCTGCAGTGACAGGGGGAGGGGCTGGATTCCCCTCTCCCCGCTCCGATCTGCCAGTGCTGACTGGCGGAACGGATGGGGGAGGGGGCGGGTACAGCTGGCTCTGCCTCTAGATAGGCAGAGCCAGCTGTCACTCACACAGCTGGGCGGATCCTGTCATCTAAGTCGGGATCCGCTCACACAGCTGCGGCGTCTCAGTATAAGTATACCGCGAGCTGTAGCTCGCGGTATACTGAGCTTAGGGTAACAGGAGGACGCTAGTTTGTGTCCTGCCGTTACCCTAAGGAGAACTATGGGGAAAAACACTGACCCCATAGTTCTCCTTTAACTGTGTTTATATTGCAGA